CTATACATCCAATTAGGATTAATATCCAGAACTTATAAAAAACTAAAAAAATTGAAGAAATCATGTGACGACATTAAGAAAACATGGACTATCCACCTGAACAGACCAGTCTCAAAAGAAGAAATAATGGCTAAGAAAAATTATTCAACATCTTTAGCAAGTAAATAAATGCAAATTAAAACTATTTTAAAATATCATCTTAACAGCTTGGTATTGACACAAAAATAAACAGGTAGACCAATGGAATCTAATTGAAAACCCTGATATTAACCCACACACGTATGAACATCTGATCTTTGACAAAGAAGCTAAAAATATACAATGGAATAAAGAAAGCATCTTCAACAAATGGTGCTGACATAACTGGAGGCTGGCATATAGAAGAATGTGGATCGATCCATGTTTATCACCATGCACAAAACTTAAGTCCAAATGTATCAAAGACCTCAACATAAATCCATTCACACTGAACCTCTTAGAAGAGAAAGTGGGTGGTACCCTTGAACGAATTGGTACCGGAGACAGCTTCCTGAACATAACACCAGTAGCACAAACAGTGAGATCAACAATGAATAAATGGTACCTTCTGAAACTGAGAAGCTTCTGCAAGGCAAAGGACACATTAAGCAAGACAAAAAGGCAGTCCACAGAATGGGAAAATATATTCACTAACCCCACAACTGATAGATGGTTGACCTCCAAAATTTACAAAGAATTCAAGAAGCAAGTCTCCAAAACACCAAAGGATCCAATTAAAAAGTGGGCTGCAGAACTAAATAGAGAAATTTCAATAGAGTCTAAAATGGCTGAGAGGCACTTGAGAAACTGCTCAACATCCTTAGCCATCTGGGAAATGCAAATCAAAACAACTCTGAGATACCACCTCACTCCTGTCAGAATGGCTAAAATCAAAAACACCAATGACAATTTATGCTGGAGAGGATGTGGTGAAAGGGGAACACTCCTCTATTGCTGGTGGGAGTGCCAACTTGTTCAGCCACTCTGGAAATCAGTTTGGAGATTCCTCAGAAAAATGGGAATAAACTGACCATAAGACCCAGCAACTCCACTCTTAGACATATATCCAAAAGATGCCCATTCATACAACAAGGATGTCTATTCCACTATGTTCATAGCAGCTTTATTTGTAATAGCCAGAACTTGGAAGCAACCTAGATGCCCCTCAACCAAAGAGTGGATAGAGAAAATGTGGTACATTTACACAATGGGGAACTATTCAGCAGAAACAAACAATGGAATCCTGAGATTTGTAGGCAAATGGATGGCACTAGAAGAAACCATCCTGAGTGAGGTAGCCCAGTCACAAAAAGAGAAACATGGCATGTACTCTCTCATATATGGATTTTAGACATAGATCTGGGGAGTGCCAGCCTACAATCCCATGGCCAGAGAGTCTGGGAAACAGAACCTTCATTCAATGGCTGATGGAAGAAGAGGCAGACTCCCAAGGCTGAACTGAGCTGAACTCAAGTAAGCCAGTAATAGAGAGGGAGGACTGATGACCAAAGGGATTAAGACTGGGCTGGTTTAACCCCCAGAAACAGATGACCTGCCTGACAAGGGTGAACTCTTGAATCCCAGGCTGATGCCTGGGAATCCAGCATGGGATTGATCAAGACCCCCTGAATGTGGGTGTCAGTGAGGAGGCCTAGATAATCTATTGAGCCATGGGCAGTAGATCAGTATTCATCCCGAGTATACACATGGATTTTGGACTCCCATTCAACAATGTGAGATGCACTCTCACCCTGAACTCTTGGGGAAGGGACTGGGCCCTACCCTGGATGAAATGACAGACTATGGACACCCCCATGGAGGGCCTCATCCTCCCTGGGGAAAAGAGGGGATATTGGGGGGGTTTGGGGGGAGGGCATGGGAGGAGGTGAGGGAAAGAGAGAGGGACCTGAAAATGACTTGTGAAGCAACCTTTTTCTAATATAAGTTTAAACTTAAAAATAAATGTAAAACAAGCTATTTAAAATTTAAAAAATAAAAAATAATCAAGTTAAAACTAAAAAGAATAATAAAAAATTAAAAAATGAAATAAAATCACTAAAACAAACATTTAGGGAGTGTTCATCAATGCTTGGAAAAAAATAAAATAAAATATCATCTCATCCCAGTCAGAACCAGAACAAGAAAACATCTGACAACAAATGCCAGAATTGATACAGGGAAAGGGGAACCCTTATTTACTTTGGTGGGATCGCTACCTGAAGCATCTAAAAGACTGAACACCCTATTCCAGAGATACATCTTGTTCATTGCTAGTCTATTCTGAGTAGCTAGGAAATGGAAACTACCTCAGAACTTATAAATGCATTTCTGAGAACAGTTGTTAGATTCCTATCTCACATTCAATCAAGGTCATACCAAGTTAAAATCCATTCTTGCACTTATTCACATTTCCTGAATCATGGGGCTCTCAATATATATGTGTTTAACAAATATTTATTGAACTAATAACATTGTAAGCCTTGGTCTTGTAGTTATGTAACTGAATGGTATGAAACAAATTATAAATCTTCAGTTGGAAAATATATAAAACTTGGTGCTTACAAAGTAGAGTGGAGGTGGAAATGAAGGTGTATGTATGTAACTGAGATCTAAAGTCCATGAATGTTTAACACCCAAATCTATCTCCACAGTTTTAAAACTCACCTGGAAATCAGCATACCAAGTGAACAAATTCTTTGTGAGGATTGCATGAGGAAACATCCCTGAAATTAAATTTTTTCAGTGGAAACAGTGATATAAATGTACCTGAAAATCTGGTGGGACTAGAGCTGAAGCCATTCCTGAGGTAGCCATAGGGCCTGGAGAAGGCTCTGATTCTGACCCTGCAGTTTTGCTCAATGTGTGGCTTCCCACCTCGTTTTTTAAATTAATTTTTATTTATATTAGAAACTATTTTATTTTACATACCAATCCCAGTTCCCTCTCCCTCCCATCCTCCCATGCCCCCAACCAATCCCCCATCCTACTCCCATTCATTTCTCTGGGAGGGTGAGGCCTCCCATTGGGGATCATCAAAGTCTGACATATCATTTGGGGCAGGACTTAAGCCATTCCCCATGTATCTAGCTTCAGAGAGTATCCATGCATAATGAATGGACTCCCAAATTTCATTCATGCGCTAGGGATAAATACTGGTTCCACTGTCAGAGGCCTCATAGACTGACTAGTCCCCCCAACTAGCACCCACATTCAGGGAGCCTGGTTCAGTCTTATGCAGGTTTCCTAGCTGTCATACTGGTGTCCGGGTCCTTATGCTCCCACTTGCTTAGGTCATATGTTTCTGTTGGTTTCCCCAGCAGGGTCTTGACCCATTTTCTCATCACTCCTTCCTGTCTCCAACTGGATGCCAGGAATTTGGTTCAGTGTTTAGCGGTAAATCTCTGCTTCTGCTTCCATTAGATACTAGCTGAAGGCTCTATGATGGCATTTAAGATAGTGATCAATTTTGTTACAGGGGAAGGGCATAGTCTCTCCAGCATTGATTAGATTCTTAGTTGGGGTCATCCTTGTAGATCTCTGGAGATTTCCCTAGTACTAGATTTCTCATTAAGCCCATAATGGCTCCCCCTATTAAGGTATCTCTTTCCTTGCTCTTCTTCTCTGTTTTTCCCACAACTTAACCTTCCTGATCCCTCATATTCTCCTCCCCTCTCTCCTTCTCCCCTACTCTTTCCTCTATCCCTCTCCCCCTGTGTTCACAATTTACTCAAGAGATCTAGATACCATCTTATACCTGTCAGAATGGCTAAAATAAAAAAAACACCAAGGACAGTTTATGCTGGAAAGGATATGGAGAAAGGGGAACACTCCTCCACTTTGGAAATCAGTATGGTGGTTTCTCAGGAAAATGGGAATCAGTCTACCTCAAGATCCAGCAATTCCACTCTTAGGCATATACCCCATATACCCAAAGGATGCACATTAATACCACAAGGACATCAGTTTAACTACATTCATAACAGCATTATTAGTAATAGCCAGAACCTTGAAGCAACCTGAATGCCCCTCAATCGATGGATAGATAAAGAAAATGGGGTACATTTACGCAATGGAGTACTATTCAACAGAAAAAAATAATGACATCTTAAAACTTACAGGCAAATGGGTGTGACTAGAAGAAACCATCCTGAAAGAGGTAACCCAGAAACAGACAGAAAAACATGGTATGCACTCATTCATAAATGGAGATTAGACATAGAGCAAAGGAGTACCAGCCTACAATCGGCACCACCAGAGAAGCTAGGAAACAAGGAGGACCCTAAGTGAGACATACATGGACTCCTCCCCGCCAGACGGGGAAAGGGGCTTCCCACTTCTTACAGCATTTGTATTTTTGAAAACACTTGTTTATCAAGTGGATGATGGAGGTTGAAGCCAAAGCCCACATATTTGAAGAACAAAGGAGGCCCTCTGCATGTGGAGGACAGTTGCGTGGCTTGGTCTGTTTGAGGGGCCCCTGTCAACGGGAACAGTACCTATCCCTGGTGAATGAACTGGCTTTTTGGAATACATTCCTTATGGTGGGATGCCTTTCTCAGCCTTGATACGGGGGGAGGAGGGCTTGTTCCTGACCCAACTTGATGGATAAGGCTTTGTTGACTCCCCATGGGAGACCTTACTCTTTCTGATGCATGGATGGAGTGGGTTCTGGGGAGAGTGTGAGGAGGGGAGGGAGATGGAGCTGTGGAATTAATGTTTTTACATCACACATTTGATGGATCTCTATAACCTGTGCTTTCTCTCCATCTTTTAATGAAATCCCAATGCCCCTCATTCTTTTTTTGCCATTCATTCTAATGATCTGGTCCTACATCCAGTCAGGCAGTGGCCAGGGCACACCTCCTTCCTATTGGCCAGGATGATCTTGCGGGAAGGCCCTTATTATGAGGTCTCACATTGTAGACAATGGGGAGTGCTGACATCACCTGCAGTATATAAGGCAGGGCAGCAGGCAGCTCCCGACAGTTATCACCAGGAGGCGGTATAGGGGAAACAGGTACCTAACCCCTGTCTGCTCCAGCTCGCTTGCTAGATAGGCAGCTGCTGCTCCCCACCGCCTGGTGCCTGCTTTCCAAAGAAAAACGGAGCCAGAAATCTACCATGGACATCGTATTCATCCTTGTCGGCAGCATCTTTTTTGCTTTCATCTTTTGCATCTTAAAGGTACTATTTCAGGTAAGCTGTATGCAGGAGGAGCCTGCCGTAACATTGAAGTAACTCAATACATGGATAGAAAAGAGGAAAAGAATTCAGGGAAGGCTATTAAATGCCGCCTACCCTTTCCACAGAGCTCTGCCGCATGAGCTTCCCAAGCTTTGAGCACTGTGTTCAATAGTTATGGTCAGTTAGAAGACAGGTATAGGTCAAGAATGATATGGTCGGCTTTCCAGCGAACTTCTCACTCACCATGAGAGAACAGGAGAGCTGAAAGTGTGCGTGTTCCCCACCATCAAACTCTTATCTTCTTTCATTTCCCTAATGATATCGTAAATGTGACTTCCCTGGTGTTGGTTTAAAGTCCTAAGTAAAGAGGTTTTACAATAGTATTCATGACTAGTGTCAAGGCTACTGTTGAACATCCTAAGACAAGAAGGCTTTGCAAGTAATCGCCATGATTTTTTGTGAAACTTTGCCTGCACAAAACATGTTTATGTTTTCTAAGTTTTCTGTTTGCTGATAGTTTCTTTTTGTGTAGAAACGTTTTAATTTAGTATTGTTTCATTTATTTTTTTGAATTCATAGTTCAAGCTTCATTAAATATTTCCTAATAAATTTGAACATTACAAAATAATTTTGGGGGAAGGGCTGAAGATGTACCTCAGTGGTACAGTGATAGAGTACTTGCCAGCCATGCAAGATTTTATGTTACATCAAAAAACAGTGCTGTTTCCTCTTAGAGAACTTTGTATTCAAATCCGATAACAGATTTTTAAAATACCTTATGAAACCAAATGAAAAGTAATATATAATTTATCCAAAATTAATAAACTCCTGGTATTGAGCTCAATCAAGTTAATGTAGGTATTAACTTAAATTAATTCCAAAAATATGTTGTTTGCATAGTCATTCAGGATTTAAATGATTTCTCTGGGCTCTCTTTATTGAAGTATTTACTCTGAAGACATTTTTCAGTTGAGACAAGCAGAAGAAAAAATGTATAAAAATTATAAGTCTTGATGCTTAGACATATGCTGTTACATACAAGAGCAAATTACCTTTTAGAATTCTACACGAGTTCATATTTTTTCTAGATTACTTTATTTTTTTAATTCCAATATATTATTTATATTTTATTTTTAAATTTAAATTAGAAACAGGGTTGCTTCACATGTCAATTCCAGGTCCCTTTCCCTTTCCCTCACCTCCTCCCGTGCCCTCCCACAAAAAACCAATATCCCCTCATTTCCCCAGGGAGGGTGAGGCCCTCCACGGGGGTGTCCATACTCTGTCATTTCATCCAGGGCAGGGCCTAGACCCACTCCCAAGAGTCCAGGGTGAGAGTGCATCTCACATTGTTGGATGGGAGCCCAAAGTCCATTTGTAAACCCGGGATTAATACTGATACTACCCAAGGCTCAATATATTACCTAAGCCTCCTCACTGACACCCACATACAGGCAGGTCTTGATCAGTCCCATGCTGGTTTCCTAGGCACCAGTCTGGGATTCAAGAGCTAACCCTTGTCAGGTCAGCTGTTTATGAGGGTTAAACCAGCCCAGTCTTTACCCCTTTGGTCATCAGTCCTCCCTCTCTATCACTGGATTTCTTGAGTTCAGCTCAGTGCTTAGCCTTGGGAGTCTGCCTCTGCTTCCATCAACCACTGAATGAAGGCTCTGTTTCCGAGGCTCTCTGGCCATGGGATTGTAGGCTGGCACTCCCTAGATATATGTAAAAAATCCATATATGAGAGAGTACATGCCATGTTTCTCTTTTTTGTGACTGGGTTGCCTCACTCAGGATAGTTTCTTCTAGTGTCATCCATTTGACTGAAAATTTCAGGCATTGTTTTTTTTCTGCTGAATAGTACTCCATTGTGTAAATGTACCACATTTTCTCTATCCACTCTTTGGTTGAGGGGCATCTAGGTTGCTTACAAGTTCTGGCTATTACAAATAATGCTGCTATGAACATAGTGGAACAGACATCCTTGTTGTATGAATGGGCATCTTTTGGATATATGCCTAAGAGTGGAGTTGCTGGGCCTTGTGGTAGGTTTATTCCCATTTTTCTGAGGAATCTCCATACTGATTTCCAAAATAGCTGTACAAATTGGCACTCCCACCAACAGTGGAGTAGTGTTCCCCTTTCACCACAACTTCTCCAGCACAAATTGTCATAGGTGTTTTTGATTTTAGCCATTCTGACAGGAGTAAGATGGTATCTCAGAGTTGTTTTGATTTTCATTTACCAGATGGCTAAGGATGTTGAGCACTTTCTCAAGTTCCTCTCAGCCATTTTAGACTCCTCTATTGAAAATTCACTATTTAGTTCTGTAGCCCACTTTTTAATTGGATCCCTTGGTGTTTTGGAGACTTACTTCTTGAATTCTTTGTAAATTTTGGAGATCAACCCTCTGTCAGATGTGGGGTTAATGAATATATTTTCCCATTCTGTGGACTGCCTTTTTGTCTTGCTGAATGTGTCCTTTGCCTTGCAGAAGTTTCTCAGTTTCAGGAGGTCCCATTTATTAATTGTTGATATCAGTGTCTGTGAAACTGGTGTTATGTTCAGTAAGCAGTATCCTGTACCAAGTGGTTGAAGGGTGCCCCCCACACTATCTTTTCTAAGAGTTTCAGTGTGGCTAGATTTATGTTGAGGTCTTTGATCCATTAGAACTTAAGTTTTGTGCATGGCGATAGATATGGATCGATCCTCAAGCTTCTACTTGCCAGCATCCCGTTATTCCAGCACTAGTTGTTAAAGATGCTTCTTGTTTTCCATTGTATATGTTTAGCTTATTTGTCGAAGATCAGATGTTCCTACATGTATGGGTTAATATCCGGGTGTTCAATTCGATTCCATTGGTATACCTGTCTATTTTTGTGCCAATACCAAACTATTTTCAGGACTATAGCTCTATAATAGAGCTTGAGATCGGGGATGGTGACGCCTCCAGATGTTGCATTTTTGAATTAGGTTGTTTGGATATCCTGGGTCTTTTGTTTTTCCATACAAAATTGATTATTTTTCTTTCAAGGTCTGTAAAGAATTGTGCTGGTATTTTAATGAGAATTGCATTGAATATGTAAATTGCTTTTGGCAGGATTGCCATTTTTACTACATTGATCCTACATATCCAAGAGCATTGGAGATTTTTCCACTTTCAGAGGGCTTCTTTAATTTCTTTCTTTAAAGAGCCAAAGTTCTTGCGATACAGGACTTTCACTTGTTGGGTTAGCGTTACCCCAAGGTATTTTATGTTGTTTGTGGCAATTGTAAAGGGTAATGTTCCTCTGATTTTTTTCTCAGCCCTTTTGTCATCTGTATATAGTAGGGCTACTGATTTTCTTGAGTTGATCTTGTAGCCTGCCACTTTGCTGAAGGTATTAATCAGCTGTAAGAGTTCCCTGGTAGAGTTCCTTTGGTCATTTATGTAAACTATCATATCATCTGCTAATAGTGAAAGTTTGACCTGATCCTTTCCAATTTGTATCCCCTTGATCTCCTTTTGTTGTCATATGGCTCTGGGTAGAACTTCAAGTACAATATTGAAAAGGTATGGAGAGAGTGGACAGTCTTGTCTTGTTCCCGATTTTAGAGGAATTGGGTTGAGTATCTGTCCATTTAGTTTGATGTTGGCTGTTGGTTTACTGTATATAGCTTTTATTATGTTTAGGTATGTTCCTGTTATCCCAGATATCTCCAAGACCTTTCTCATGAAGGGGTGTTGGATTTTGTCAAAGGTTTTTTCTGCATCTATTGAGATGATTATGTGATTTTTGTTTCTCAGCTTGTTTATATGGTGGATTATATTGATGGATTTTCATATGTTGAACCATCCCTGCATTCCTGGGATGAAACCTACTTGATCGTGGTGAATGATTGTTTTGATGTGTTCTTGGATCCAATTTGCCAGTATTTTATTGAGTATTTTTGCAACAATGTTCATGATGGAGATTGGTCTGAAGTTCTCTTTCTTAGTTGTGTCTTTGTGTGGCTTGGGTATCAAGGCTATTGAAGCCTCATAGAAAGAGTTTGGCAAAGACCCTTCTGCTTCTATTGCATGGAATACTTTGAGAAGAATTGGTATAAGATGTTCTTTGAATTTCTGGTAGAATTCTGAACTGAGGCCATCTGGACCTGGACCTTTTTTGTTGGGAGACTTTTGATGACTGCTTCTATTTCCATAGTGGTTATAGGTCTATTTAAATTGCCTATCTGTTCTTGATTTAATTTTGGCAAGTAATAGCTATCCAGGAAGTCGTCCATTTCATTTAAATTTTTGAATTTTGTAATGAAACTGTTTCCTATGAAATCGGAGTCCTGTTCTGAAAGTCCCTCCCTGTACTTTTAATCTTGGGGTGTACTCCCTATCCTTGACCATATACAAAAATCAATTCCATGTGTGTCTGTATGTAGATTTAAAATCATGTTTCCATTATAAGAATCAGTTACTTTTCTTCCTTCTTTTCTTTCATTTAAGCTTAATATTCCTCTCCCTAGATCCAGGATCCACTTTTCTCCTACCACCATGGTGTTGGGAACTTATGTGTGTTCACAAGTATGCTCAGTTCTAAATATGTGGGTTGGTTTTTTTTGTTTTTTGTTTTTGTGTGTTTTTTAGGAGCTCTGGCTTTGCTGCCCAAGATTAGGAGAACATATTTTATTACAGGTCCTAACCTAAGAAAGGAGGAGCATTTAATATTCATATCATAGTTTACACTGATCATGTAGCTGTTTTCTACTCATTAATAGCAGAGAAAGCAGAAATTGAACTGAGAGTTGGAAACCTACTGTGTGTCAGTTATTGTTTTTGAGTCTAGCATAAAGCTATCCAGTCTTGTAGAGCACTGGGTGCTGACAAGAGTGACAAGGAGATTTTGCTCCTATGAACCACTGTCTAAAAATTCCTTGGCATGATATTTTTTATTATTTTAATTAATTAATTAATTTTTCCGTTTAAATTTAGATTAGAAACAAGGTTGCTCCCGTGCCCTCTCCCCACCCCCCATTTTCCCCTCATTTCCACAGGGAGGGTGAGGCCCTCCATGGGGGTGTCCATAGTCTGTCATTTCATACAGGGCAGGGCTTAGACCCTCCCCCAAGACTCCCTGGCTCCTCTGGTTTCCTGGTCTCGTTGGTGGGAGAGAAGTCCCGGGGTCTGGGGTGCTTGGCTCCTGCCGGGATTGGAAGCTCTGTGCAGTTCCCAGGCGATCCCCAGGCACTGGAACACAGGCCCAGAAGCAGGGCCTGTTGTACCTGATGCCACTGCCAGAACAGCTGCTTCCCTGGATTCCCTCGTGGGTTGTTTTTCTCGTGGGTTTTTTGGTTTATTTGTTTTGTTTCGGTATTTAAAGTTGCAAGTGAAATGCTTTTAAATAAGAACCACAGACAGGGATTGAGGCTACTACTGAACTTCCCAAAGCATGGTATTAAATGGTGGCATTCCTACATGTTAGTCAATGTTACCCATCAACAATTCAAATATGTATCTCTTGGCAGGAGACTTCTTTATCATAACCAAGTTATGATTTGATGATTTCTGGGCTCCAAAATACTACAGAGTTACAATTTCTCTTACAGATGACTGATCATCAAAAACCATCCAACCCAAAACCTCCTAAGCTGCTGAGATCAACTCCCACTCTGTCACACAGGAATGCTGCTCTGCGTTTCCATGACAACAACTACAACCAGGCTACGATGAATAATTATCCACGAACACTAGCCTTGCACAAACGAATACTGGTCAATTTGAACATCATGGAATGCCAACTAACTAAGCTGGAGCAATTCCTGTCTGCAAGGCGCCCACGTGGCTATTCAAAGCCTAGGCGGAGAACCACTGTGAGAATTCCTGTGGAAAGCGACAGTGGAAGCAACCAATAAATTCCCTGAGTGGGAATCCCTGAGTGGGAGTCCCTGAGTGGGAATCCCTAAGTGGGATCAACTGATTCTGTTTCTTGCAAATGAGTTTTTATTTAAAGGATTGGGGTGCCAGTCAGATACTTCAGACACCTACTACATGCGTATATTTACAGAATCATTTACATATATTTGTTAATGCATATTCCATGAGTTAATGATTTAGAATCATAATACAAAAAAAGCAAATTCAAATGTTGGATATTTGGCATTTGAGAGTTTACAGGTGATATAAAACAACCCTAATCCAAACATTTTGAGAAGTTTTGTAATCAAAAGATTGCAGTATAATATTCCAGTTGTCTGCAAGTTTTATTAAAGTGAGAGGACTTACTCTGAACTGTTTTTCATCAGGAAAAGAATTGTTTGTCACTGACTGTATGAAGTAAGAGATATCACCGGGTGCCCTACAATATATGTATTGTATAAAGTATGACATTGTACTTTATTTCCACATTTGAATTTAATGATAAAAGTCTTTAACTACTCTTTGTGGTCATTTTTTGAATACAACTACTTCTGTTTGAAATCCCCACAGTCCTAGATTATTTTTATCATTTAAAATATATCTAAATTCAGACTTTGATGATCCCCCATGGAAGGCCTCACCCTCCCAGGGGAGTTAATGGTGGGTGAGATGGGGGGCTGGTGGGGAGCATGGGAGGATGGAAGAGAGAGGGAACTGGGATTGATATGTAAAATAAGACTGTTTTTAATTTAAATAAAATTTTTTAAAATGTCCAAATTATCCCTATAGCACAAGAATAGCCCATAAAAAGGAATGCCTTTTTAAATTGGTAAATGTTCACCTTGAATAGCACTCAATATACATTTAATAGAATGTTACTTCAAGAAAGGGTATTTCTAAGTCATAGTTGGAATCCTATGTACCACAAATTAATTTAAGCTTGGTCATAGCATGTGATCTACACTGAAAAAAAAACCCTCAAATTCTCAATCACAAGTTCATTCTATATGTAATTCATTTTGTGAGTCACTTCTCAGCTATTTCTACACCTTCACGTCTACCACTCCTCAAAATCAGTTACCAGCATAAATTAAAGAACTATCCTAATATGTGTTTGTGGTTCTTAAATATTTTTTTTGGTTCACAGGTCCCTTTGACATCTTTCAGGAAAACAATGGGGTGTCTCCTTAAAATTGCTCATCTATATACACAAAATGTCCACAATACCTAGGAAATGGAACATGCCTAGATGTCCATTAATAGAAAAACTGATAATGAAAATAGATGTAGGTAATAAAATTTAATTCAGCTATAAAGAAAAAACAAATTACAAAATTTGTAAATAAATGTATTGAATATAGAAATTGAGGTAATCCAGGCCCAGAAATACAAATGCCATATGTTCTCTTTCATATGTGGATCCTCATTTTGAATCATTAGACTTTTACGTTTAACCTGTAAAAGCCAGGAAACTAGAAACAGATCCCCAGTGTGGGGGATAAACATCACAAGGTCCTCCCTGAGTTGTAGTCAGTGAATAAAAGATCATCCTATTCTGCAACACTAACTGTCTTAGCTTGTGCAGTTAAGTAAAGAAAAGAATGGAGAGAATGCTAATAGCAAAAATATAGAAAACAGCTAAAATATAATGGTCTTTCTTGATTGTTAACTTGAGGGTCAACAAAACTCTCCCAACATGTCTAAGAGATTTTCTAGATTGGGCAGATGGTCGTTGGAAGACCTAAATATAGGAGATACCATCAATGGTCTGGGGTTCTGTCTAAAGCAAAAGGAGAAGGGCAACTGAGCATCAGCATTCATTTCCCTCTATGTTTTCTATCTATGTGACCACCTACATATAGCTACTACTATCTTGACTTCTCTGTCAGGATGGACTGTGCCCTGAAATTAGCCAAATAAACCAGTCCTTCATTAAACTGTTTTGGTCATAAATTTGGGAGGGAAAGTAATAGAGCAAGTACAGATTGTTGCGGGTCTAGAATCAAAATACACTGTAGATGTGTATGAAACACTCAAAAATAGTTACAGTAAAATTTAAGAATATTCATGATGGTCATGTGGAATTTTCCCAGAGCTACATGAGATTATTCAACATAATGAAAATTAATAAACGTGATACATTAACAGAGAGAAGATAATGAACACATGGTCATTTCAATATATGAAGGAAAAGCTTTAGGTAAAATTTGACATTCTGCTTTTATTATCATATGCCTGTAATATAATTTGAAATCTGTTACAGTAAACATTTTAGTGTTGTCCTTTTTATTTAGGATTTGATCAGCTATCCACAGCCCTCTGTGGCTCCTCATGAATTTTTAGGGTTTTGTTGTTGTTACTTCTGTGAAGTATTTTGAATGGTATTTCTAAGTATTGTGAATGGAATTGTATTGGATCTATAAATTGCTTTGGGCAACATTGTCATTTCCACAATATTATTTATACTAATTTATCTGCGTATCCAGATTTCAGGAACCCATTACCCATGGAGGGAAACTCTCTTAGTCTAGATACACAGGACAGGGCCTGCCCCAAATGACTTGACAGATTTGGTGATCCTTCATGGAAGGTCTCACCCTCCCTGGTTCTGTGAACCAGGAGTGGTGTAAATTGCACATTATTCAATTTCCATGAGTTTGTAGGGTTTCTGCAATTGGTGTTATTGTTGAATTCTAACATTAAAGCATGGTGGTCTGATAAGATACATGGAGTTATTCCAATTTTTGTACCTGTTAAGTTTTAATATGTTGCCATGTATGTGGTCGATTTTTGAGAAGGTTCCATGTGGAGCTGAGAAGAAGGTATACTCTTTTGTGTTTGGATGGAATGTTCTATAGATGTCAGTCAAAAACCAATTATGTCATAACTTCTATTAAATCATTTGTTTCTTTGTTAAGTTTCTGTGTCGTATTCCTGTCTTGTGGTGAGAGTGGGGTGTTGAAGTCTCCCATTATAAGTGTGTGAGGTTTTTATGTGTGGTTAGAGTTTTAGTAATGTCTCTTTTAGGAATGTGGATGCCTTTGTGTTTGGGGCATAGTTATTCAGATTTGTGACTTCATATTGGTGGGTTTCTCCTGTGATAAATAGGAAATGACCTTCTTCATCTCTTTTGATTGATTTCAATTTTAAAGTCTAGTTTGTTAGATATTAGATATTAGAATTGCTACCCCTACTTGGTTCTTGGGTCCATTTGATTGGAAAATCTTTTACCAACTCTTTACTCTGAGGTAACATCTGTGTTTGAACCTGAGGTGTGTTTCTTGTATACAGCAGAAGGATGGATGCTGCCTTCGAATATATTCTGTTAGCCTGTGTCTTTTTATGGGAGAGTTAAGACCATTAATATTGAGGGAAATTAATGACCTTTGATTGCTCATTTTTGTTTGTTTTAGAATTGTTGATGGTGGTGGAGTTGTGTGTGGGTTTCCACTCCTTTTCTCTTTTGGTTGTTGGGAAAGTGGGATTATCTACTATCTTTGTTTGTCTGGTTGTAGCTAACTTCCTTGGACTGGAGATTTCCTTCTAGAACTTTATGGTTGGCTGGGTTGGTGGATATGTATTGCTTGAATCTGGTTTTGTCATGTTTTCACCATCTATATTGATTGAAAGCCTTCCTGGGTATAGTAGTCTGGGCTGGCATCAATGGTCTCTTAGTGTTGGTAGAATATCTATCCCGGACCTTCTTGGCTTTCAGATTTTCCATGGAGAAGTCAGGTGTAATTCTGATAGGTTTGCCTTTATATGTTATTTGAACTTTTTCCTTAGCTGCTCTTAATATTTTTTCTTTATTTTGTATGTTGGGGTGTTGATTATTATGTGGCAAGGGAACTTTTTTGTGGTCCACTCTATTTATTGTTCTGTAAGCTTCTTGTACCTTCATTGGCATGTCTTTCTTTAGGTTGGGAAAGTTATATACAGCTATCTGAATTTTAACCAGTGAAAGATTCTGTTCCTACTCAAACTTTGCTGTTAGCTTTACTGCTCACTAGAAATCACAGGAAAAATGAAAACAGTTGGAAATGTTTCTAACTTGAAAGATATAGACAACAGGAAAAACAAAAGCTCTTAGGAAAACATGGAGTACTGAGAACAGAGAAAAATTAACATGAAAACTACAATTACTATGTTTGCAAAACAAGCTATTAAAACATATTAGTAATTTTTGTGTTTTCTTTTCTTATTTATTTAAATTAGAAACAAACTTGCTTCACATCTCAATCCCAACTCGCTCAGCCACCCATCATCCCCTGCCCCCTCCAACCCTCCCAACCAACTCCCCACCCAACCCCCACTCCACTCTCCAGAGACAATAAGACCCTTTATGAGGGATCTCCAAAATCTGTCATTTCATCTGGGGCAGGGTCTAGGCCCATCCCCATGTGTTCTGGCTGAGAGAGCATCCCTCCATGTGCAATAGGCTCCCAGAGTCCATTTGTATGCCAGGGATAAATATTGATCTAGTACCCGAGGCACCAAAGATTGCCAAGGCCTCCTCACTGACATTCACGTTCAGGGGGTCTGGATCAATCTCATGCTGGCCTCTAAGTCATCAGTCTGGGGTCCATGAGCTCCCCCTTGTTCAGGTCAGCCACCCAGTCTTGACCCCTTTGTAATCACTCCCCCCTATCTGTCACTGGATTTCAGGAGTTTAGCCTCTGTTTCATCTGCTGGATGAAGGCTCTAGGATGTCATGCAAGGTAGTCGTCAATCTCATTAGAGAGGAAGGGCATTTAAGGTAGCCTCTCCACTATTGCTTAGATTGCCAGTGGGTATCATTCTTGTAGATCTCTGGAAATCTGACTAGTGCCAGATCTCTCTTCATACCTATAATGACTCCCTCTATTATGGTATCTCTCATCCTGCTCTCCTCTATTTTTCCCCTGACTCAAATTTCCTGCTCCCCCATGTCCTTCATTCACCTTCATTTCTCCCCCTCACTTTTCCCCAGTTCCCTCTCCCCCCCACTCAGCTCCCAGTCCACTCAGAAGATTCTGTCCCATTCTCCTTCTCTGGATACAATGCATATCTATCTTACAGTCCT